GGTCTAAGGTAAGACACCAGTCCAGTCTGTGCTGAAACGCTACTGTCAATCAAACTATCGTGGGAGGGGCCTGTTCTTGTGACATCACACAGACAGGCATCTGAGATCAGCTCGATTTGAGAAAGGGGTAAAGATTTGAGCGGATTAAACAAAAAACACTGGGTGGATTTTTATCATTTTAGGGTGGTTGTGTACACACACCGCCAACACACATTTCAGTTCAAACAACTTGTAAAAGTGCATGTAGCATCATATGACCCCTTTAAAATTACACACATTTAAGTTTTTATAATAATAAAGTTACAATTACTAGGGATGCACCGAAATGAAAATTCTTGGCCGAAGCCGAAACTGAACAAAATGAAACACTGGGCTGAAGGCCGAATACCGAACACGTTTTTACGAGTTTTTTTCCCCCATGTATTTTGCCAATTTGTTTTCACCATTGCTTAAATTAAATAGGTTTCAGCACCCAGCTCCCGCCTTTTTGCCCATTTTCGATTATCCGGGAGTGACGCGCTGCCAAGATGGCGACGGCCTCGCATTCTGCCATGCCAAACCATGCAGACCATGCTGGCTTTTCTGTTAAAATAACTGGTTTGTGAATGTTGATGCTTAGCCTAAATAACACACATTTTATTGGGAGCATTTATGCTGGGATGTTGTGGATCTTATTATCATTATTATTGTCTTACTTTTTATTTTATTTTACAGAACAACAGTAAAATTACAATACTAACGTTTATGAATGTTGATGGAGTTCTTGCTCTTTCTCAACTTTTATTTTGGCAGAAACGTGCAGGAAGACCTCAATGCTTCTTTTTGTTGACAAAAGCAGATTTATAAATGAGTCTCATTACGAATACGTCGTATGTATCGCGCTGCCAAGATGGCGACGGCCTCGCATTCTGCCATGCCAAACCATGCAGACCATGCTGGCTTTTCTGTTAAAATAACTGGTTTGTGAATGTTGATGCTTAGCCTAAATAACACACATTTTATTGGGAGCATTTATGCTGGGATGTTGTGGATCTTAGGAGATGTTACAGAACTATTTAATGTAAATTTCTTTGATATGCTGAAAGAAAATCTATATAGATTATTTTTATGTGGGTTTTTGCGGGCAGGAGTGGGAGAAAACATGAATGTCGTGGGCGGGAGCGGGCCCAGATAAGATATTTTTCTGAGGGAGTGGGCGGGCGCGGGACAGAATCTTGCGGGAGTGGGACTGAAAAATTCGTCCCGCGCAGGTCTTTACTTTGAACCCTGGTTAACAAGCAGATAGCGCCCCGAGCTCGTGCAGCGCTGTCAGAATACATGCAATGCGTGCGTGTATTAGAAAACATAACGTTCTGCAGTTTATTTACTAATTGTTTAAGGCCATTTCGCGATTTCAGTTATCATACAGTAACCAGCAACAATCACCCCTTCCTCTTCTCATCGAAGACACGTGATGCAGTCCTAAACAGTCTCTCGCTTATGGTCACCAAATATGTTTGTTTCTAAGGTAAACGTTACGTCACACTGTTTACAAGCTGCTATATTGACGGTTAAACCCTGATTGAGCGATTACATGAGACAGGATACAGATTTCGGTAAGCTACTCTTTCTTTTAACATACCTTTGGATGCTCATTCATGTTTACTCCCCGCTAAAACTGGTATTAAACCGGAGGAGA